GCCGACGGCATCTTGGAGCATCTGCGTGACGATGTCGACAGCTACGCCTAGCATCCCGGGGCGGCGAGATATAAAATTGAGAACGAGGTCGTAGGGGCGTGTATTCTTCTTCTAGGAGTTTGATAGCGAAGCGGGTCTCGCTTGGATAGTAAGCCTCGGAAGTGCGTGTAAAAGGACAGGATGTCGTCGGTGGTAGAGAGGCTCTTGGTGTAGCCCGTCAGCATGATGCCTAGGATTTCGAGGCCGGGCCTGACGAGCTTATCAGGGGCGGCGGCGGGTAGTTGATCGATGAACGGGCCCAACTTCTCATGCCAAGCCAAGTCCGTAATAATATGATTTGTCGGGACGTCCAAGCCACCAGGTATGAGCTTTTCCAGGGGCTTCACATCGAAGAACTTGGAATAAACCTTGAGCATGGAGGGAAAGGCCGGTAGAGGATCCGGGGTCTGGCTGAGCGTGATCGGGGGAGCTTCTTCCATCGCAGCCAAAAGGATGGTGTGCACCAGGTCGTTCCAGATGTAAGGTTCTCGCAAGGCATCGGGTGTTGCTTCTTCCATGACTCGGATGGCCGAGCCAAGGCGGAGAGCACGCTTGGCCCCGTTCAGGAGGACAGAAAAGACGTGGGCGTCCGGCGTGGTGCCTGCATTGCGCATGACCTCGTAGATTTTCCAAGCCGCGTCCAGCTGGTTGGTTGAACACAAGGCCCGAATCATGGCCGTATATGTCACGATGTTTGGAGAGAGGCCGCGACCCACGACACGCTCGAACGCTTCGGCGAGCAATCGCACCTCTACCGGTGTCCGCCGGTCTTTCCAGTCATGGGGCAATGTGAAGAGCTCGGTAGCCAATGCCGCACAGCGACGGCCGTGGATATCCGCTTTGGGGTCGTCAAAAAGACTCTCAAAAAGCCTGAGCGCAGCCAGCTTGTACTTTGTGTTCTTCGTAAGACACCCTGCGATCTTGAGCTTGGTGTTCCAGTGAAGAGGGTGCTTGTGCTCTTGTAGCGCTGCGTATATCTCGGCCACCAAATCGGGGTCACAGTCGGACATGGTTTGCCCGAGGGTCCATTGTTGGAACCGGTAGCTGCTCGGAGGAAAATAGCGGAGGAGGTGAATGAGTAACTGGGGGAGTTGGATCTGCTGGTCCTTCCGGCTAGCTTCCGGCAGTTTTGAGTACCATATGACGAGGACGGAAAAGACGTCTGTCACGGCCCAGCCTGGCGTGCGGTCTGCTCCGATGGTGGCTACTAGCAGCATGGCGACGCTCTCGAGCCGAGAGTCCAGCGCAGCTTTCATCATGCCCAGCCAGTTGGATTCGCGGGTTTCTTGGGGTATTGCGAGCCACGCTGACCTCATGTCCTCGACCGTATTGAAAGCTAGGAGCTTCTCGAGAGTTTCCATGCCTTGGGTTTCCATGCCTTCGGTTTCCATGCCTTCGGTTTCCATGCCTTCAGTTTTGTCTCTACTAGGGTAATCTGCCTTGACTTCATTTAGACGATCAAAGACGACTTTTGTATGCTTGTTCCAGTCCCTGAATTGTGCTTTGATAAAATCAATGTTTTGCCCTGTGAGCTTTTGTTGTTTCTCTAGCGAGAAACGAATGCGGTGAAACCGGTCCTTCGGATACGCCCATTTTTTGCTGCGCAGCTCCCTGTGACGGAAGCGGCCTCGGTTTAGTTGATCCCCCAAACCTTTCAGACCTCTCTGCTCGTCTCTGGCGGCCCCTTGGCCTCGTTGCGGCTGGTCGGCCCTCGAGTTTTCCTGTGTTGTTTGCTCGGCGGGGTTGGTGGGAGAAGGGTTGTTGGGCGTGGGGCTTGAATCGGTAGAACCGGCAGCGTTAGGAGCAGCAGGATTGGTATGAAGAGCCCTTGAATGCCGCAAGTGCAGGGCGAATCGTGCGTTTAAGGGCCAGGGTCCTCGTCGTGTTAATGTGGCACACGTCCGGGAGGCCTGCCCGGCATGGCGCATCATTGCGACCGGACACGGCTCGCCGGGTAGCGGCTAGTCGAGTTGGGGGTTATGGGATATCGTAGCCTGTCTCGAAGGCGCAATCAACGAATCCAGAGAACATGGAAGCAGAAGTTTAACATGCGGCCGTGTGGTATCCGTAAATAATTTCTCGGTAAGTGGCGGCGTACAGTACAACCCATGTTGCTTGTAATTACATACCTACAATACATGGCTTGGGGCGCGGCAGGCAAGAGTTTAGCGTCGCTCGAGGTTCAGCTTCCCTGCAGCCACAGCATGTTTCCACTTCAACCATCACAAACAGAGGAAGAGCACTCTCGACTTCTTTCATACATCCACCGAAACCCAGACAACCCACCAAAGGAACCCGCCACCCAATCCAACAATGGCTTCCCACGCAACCCTAAGCGCAGCCTCAGACGACCGTAAAGCGCGCCTCGCCAAGCTCAAATCGTTGAAGCGCAAGCAGCCGACCGAAGCAGACGCAGACGAAACCGAAACCACATCACAAAATGACTTTGTTCCCACCGCCACCACCACCACCCATCCCAACGACAACAACACCCAAGACCCACCCACCCAAGACGTAGCCCGTCTGCACCTCTCCGGCCGCAACTACGACTTCGAGACCAAAGGCCCGAAGCTCGGCTTCGAGGCACCGCCCACACTAGCCCCCGGGCAGGCGACGCTGGAGGAGCAGGCGCGGGACCTGGAGGAGGAGTCGCGGCGGCAGGAGGCGGCGGACGCGGACGCGCAGCAGAGTGGCGGCGCCGCCATCGACCTGTTCAAGCTGCAGCCCAAGAGGCCCAACTGGGACCTCAAGCGCGAGCTGGCGCTGCGCACCGAGGTGCTCCACGTGCGCACCGAGAACGCCATCGCCCGCTTGGTGCGCGAGCGCCTGGCTGAGAAGAAGGCTGCTGCAAATGCTGGGGCTGGGGCTGGGGCTGGGGGTGGTGCGGGAGGACAACAGGAGGGAGATGCGGAGGCCGAGGGTATGTTGGATGGGGCGGCGATTGTGGAGGGGATGAGGTTGCGGGAGCGGGAGGAGGAGGAAGAGAACCGGAGGGAGAGAGAGGCGGAGGCGGCCGAGTTCGGGATGGCTTGAAAGGTGCACAGGTTTGGCATCGTCTGGGCGAGGGAGGGATATGGGCATTGCATGATTGGGCGCCTTAGATGGGATTGGCTTTGCAGATTGGTGTTGTTTTATTTGGCGCTGCCGGTGAGCTACATGGATCCTACAAAAAGTATGGCCTATGATACCCAGAATTCCTATCCTCACCTACCCCTGCCCATGGCCTGTGTTAGAGCTAACCGTTTGCTGAAGGGGCTGAGGCTTCTCTGCCGCGGCGGCGACGGCTGCCGGGGTGCCGGTGCCGGTGGTGGCGGGAGCGATGGGCTCCTTCCCCGGTGGCCCCGATCATCCCTATCCCGATAACGACCAGGACCATGTCTGTCACCCCTGCCCTCCCGTCTCACTGGAGATCTGGACCTGGAACTCGAGTATGCCCGCCTGGTATATGAGTCCTTTCCACGTACATCAAACCCGGGAGAGCCATACCGTCTAACCTCGCGACCACCGCGCTCGGATCTCGCCGGAGGAGAGCGCCGGGGCGAAGGAGAAAGCGGCAGCCGCGAGCCTCTAGCCTGGTAGCCGCGTGCCGGGCTTTCCGAGGGGCCGCGAGAGTAGCGATCGCACGAATCGTATGACGGGTTGCGGCCATGGGAACCTCGAGGTGAAGGGCTGCGGTACTCCCTCCGCCTTTCCTGGCGCTCGGGGCTGCGGGTCCGCCTTGGGGCTGGAGACGGGGATCGGGTAGAGATACTGGATATTGAATCGTAGGATGGCGATCTGTGCCGCCTGGGGGGTGGCGAGTCCCTCAAAGCGGCGTCCTCGTCCAGTTCCCGTTCCCGTTTCCGGGCCCTTTCTGCCTCTCGCTTGGCTAGCTCTTCATCGGCCACCCCCTTCCTATGGCCATTGTCAACGTCTCGTGGAAATGGGTCACTGGGGACTAACAACCTACTTTTCCTGTAAAGCGTTCGGGGTTTCACTTGCGAGTTTCGGTAGTAGCTTAGGATTGAACAATTGTTGTGTGCGAGAAGGCCGGGCAATATAGGGGCGCTCTTGCGGCGCCGACTTGCATTCGTACGAGTAATGGCGTTCTGTGTCTGTTAATAAAGAACGTGACTTTTGCATGGGGCGGTCACTTATCTCGTTTCAGGCACTTTTGGCATTGCACGTTTGATGGGGTAGCCTTGGATGGCCCGCTACGGCCTCGGAAGGAATGCATTTCGGCTTCTGTGAAGGGATGGTTTCGTTTCGTTGATGGCTATAACAAGCCCACACATAGATTTCCAGATTATAGTTCAAGACCAAAATTCGAGGGGTGAACGATGATGGATAAAATCCGTTGAGAACCCTCGCCGGCTGTCGCGTGCTGTTGCGTTGGCGAGGCGCTGGGCTGTTGCAGCGCGAAACAGTCAGCGTTTGGGTCAATTATTATATCCACTGCTGTAACATATAGCAAGGGCAAGAAGTGACGTTGAAACCACGGGGTTGAGCGGTTCTCTGTTTGCGCGTTGAGTGTTGTTGAGCTTGTTCGGTGATTGAAGTGAGATTGACCAGCCATGCCGTATGAATACTATTACCGTAATGAATACACAAGCCCAAGGACACATACGGGTCACCGCCTTTTTTTTCCTTTTCCTCCGGCAGAATTTGAGCCATTCCCTCTGCATTGGCTGCGCACGGACTCTTCTTTGTGCACTTGTTGCTCTTGACCGTGTCTCACTGGACCTTTCTTCGTCCTCGGGGACCTTCTTGTCGTTGATTATCTATGCATACCTGGTTATGCTATGCAAGAAACGAGGATCAACTATGGATCCCTAAGCCAGAGCTTATCCTCATTGCTCGTCTCACTGAGGTTTGTCGACACGTGCAGTCAACTTTTAGTTAGGCTGGCCAGCTAGCCAGTGAATCTCCAGAGTACCGAAAACTGTGCCTACTGGGACAGCTTGAAGGCTTGAAGGAGGATTTCAAAGCATGTACGCCTGGCTTGCACGAGCAGCTGGCAAGAGCCTTGCTTCCATGCGTTTAGGTTGTCCCCGAGCATGCGGATGTCTACATTGCCGGTATTCACAGTTGATGCAAAGAAACTACCTATCAAACTTTTGGCTGTAAACTAAGTTAATCGCTGCAATATTAGCTCAGTACCTCTGTTATTTATTTGACCTATTTCCATCCCTTCCTTGTTGCATTTCACGACCTCGCTATTTGGCAGGTTGGGTTTGAGGGACAAGGGTTGGTTGGGAAGAACCAGTGTGGGGCCTGCTGAGTGTTAAAGCCGCCTTAGGCCTCCGTCACCTGTGGAGGGGACCGCACAGGCAGAGCAGCCTCCTCACCAAGAATTCCTTCCAGGTTCCATTGTGCAACCACATCTGTCCGGGACATCGCACCCCCCTCCTTGGCTCAGATCTCCCATTCTTCAAACTGCCCAATTGTGGCGGCCTTGCTTCCAGACCGAGCACGGACGTCTGGAATTGCGACGCTCAAACAACTGCGGTCGTATTTGACCCGGTTGACGATATTGTGCACCAAATCAACTTCAACGCTGCATCCATCCATCGCAGCAGTATCTCGCACGCACTCGCTGCCTCTTGCTGCATCGCGCCGTTGCTGTTTCGGGGGAAATCGTCAACCTTGCCTGATTCCTCTGATACCCCCCACACGATGATTACCTGCGCTCTTCCTTCGGTCTGGACAGCCCTGCTCCGTTTCATTTCTTGATTTCTCCTCGGATCCGTCGTCCCGGTCTTGCCCCGGCCCGGCCACACACTGGAGCCGGTGTATCCTCCCCGCTCGCTCGCTCATATTGGGACCGACCATCCCGTGCCCTCGTGCCTCGATATCGCTGTCTCTGGGGATTGTGTACCACCCCGTGTGTCTCCCGGGGATATTTTGAGCTGTACCCATGGCTGCTATTCCCACCATGGTGAACGACGTAGGGAAGAAGATGTCGTTTGCAAGGGTATGTGGCCATCGATATCCCACCTCCACTCTCGGCTTGCTATCTGGGGGCATTTAGCTGACATTATCCTGCACCCAGGTCGCCGCAGCGTCGACGCCCAAGGGCTCCAAGCCTCCTGCTACCACCAGAGCGCTCGATTCGGCACCGCCTGTCAAGGATAAAAGAGACACTGCCGTCTCTATGGCCGCGCCTGCCATTGTTTCTACCGTCGCCGAAAACCTCGCCGTATCATCGCCCAATATGCACCAAACGGCCGGCAATGAGAACCCCGCCGACTCCAAGATCGTCAGCGGACTGAAAGACCTCAAATTGGAAGCAAAGTCGCCGCTCAATCTCGTTGTCGACGGGTCTCTAGCGGGTATGCCCGAAAGGCTGAGCAAAGTTAACAACAGCCAGACCCCGTCAGACGACACGTCTCAGCGAGCCGACTCTAGCTCGGAGCTAGGGACTAAGCCCCCCAGTTTAGACGGCAAGAGTATCACCTCCGGCACGACATTCGCGCTGGACGAGAAGGAATCACTGCGGCCCGACGACAGTGCAAGTGTCAAGGCCGCTGCGGAGGACGACGATGCGTTTTCGATTCGCGGGTCCTATATGGCTAGTTCCCGCATGGGCTCGGACGTTGCGGCTCGCATCCAACGTATCCAAATCGGGGATATGCCGCCGCGGGGTCTTCCTGCCCATCACATCTTGGCTGGAACCAAGAACCAGGGTGTCAGCACACCACAAAGCGGCAATTCGGACAAGCAGGTCGTACCGGATCCGAAGGTGTCCCTGGTCGGTGGCACTGCGACTCCTGATGCTCTGGCACCAAACGCTTTCTATAGCCAGAACCCCGACGATAAACTTCTCGAGGCAATGCAGTCACCCAAGGACCGCATATTCTTGCTGAGACTCGAGCAGCAAGTCATCGAATTTGTTCAGGACTCGAAGTATGCTCCCGCTGCCACAACCTTACTCCATTTCAGGCACTAACACAACCCTTTAGAGAGCCTTACATGGACTTGCCCCCGAGCAACTCGTTTTGCAGAATGTTGACCCACAGGCTTGCTGATTATTATCATATGACACACTCTTATGAGGCAGCCGCGGGAGCCGTGCGCATCTTTCGCACACCTTTTTGCAGGATCCCCCCCTCGTTGTCGAGTATCGCCACGGTGAGCACGCCCGCCAGCGGTTCACCCGCCCCGGTCGTCTTACCACGGAAGATCATGCGCCGTGGCGAGGACGGAGAGTTGGGTACGACCAGTGCCGGTCCTTCAAAGCCGACGTCAGAAGCGGGTAGCGACTCCAAGGACAAGAACGGCCCATCGAAGGAGAAGTAAGAATTCCTACCGCATCCGTGAGGATTGCTCGTGCTAACCGTTATTCCAGACTCACTAGAGAGGAGCGTGAAGAGGCATACAACAAAGCCCGACAGCGGATATTCGGAAGCGTCGAGAAGACGGAAAACCCCAACCAGGGTAGGTTTAGTGTAAAATATTCTCATGTCCTCCCAGCTAATCGTGGGACTATAGACGGCGAAGATAGCACCGGCGTATCCCGGGCTAGCTCAGTGTCGGCAAAAGATAAGCCCAACAACGGCAAGAGGAAGACGAAGCGTCGAGACGACTCGGAGAGCTTTGAGTCGCGGTCTCAATATGTTGCCTGGTGTGGTCCTCAACATCCCACTTGGGGTCCCTCTGCGCCCCAATATTTCCCGGTGAACGCAGCCCCGTTCAACGGGCAATTCCAGCAGCCATATCCCAGCGCACCGCAGCCCATATACCCGCCAGGCCAGTCATTCGCGCCGCAGATGGTGCCCAACAACGGGTTTAACCCTCAATACGCCGGAATGCAAACAGTAAGTTTTCCAGGTTTGTTCACCTTATACTGTCTCCCGCAATCTAACTCGGCTGTAGTACCCGACGCCACCTATGCCTCCGGCCGTCCCACAAAATGTCGGGCAAGCTGTACCCCAGGCCGTACCCCAGGCTGTGCCGCCGCCGCCGCCACCGCAGCAGCAGCAACAGCAGCAGCAACAGCAACAACAGGGTTACCGCGCCCCTAATCCCATCGGTGGCCCGTACGGCAGTCCTGTGCCAAGCATCTCACAGCCAGCGTGGCCCCAGCAAGGCTATACTCAGAACGTATACCCCCCTCGGTCTAGCCCCGTGCCCCCGCCAGGGGTTCCTTATGCTTACGGGCAGCTCCCGGCGCACGTCAACCCGAGCGATCCCAAGAGTCAACATCCCATCCCGGGCAGTTATAACCGGCAAGCCTTCAATCCGAAAACGCAGTCGTTCGTTCCGAGTAACGGACTTCCTCTGCAACCGCCGCCGCCGCCGCATGTGTCTGGTCCTTATGGAGGATCGAGCCCCCGGCATGGTAGCCCGCAGTTCCACTCGCCGCACATGAGCTACGCCGGCTACCAGCAGCCACTGCCACAGCCGGGGTTTGGCCCCCCTCCGCCCGGGCCATATGGTATGACGAGGCAGGGTTCCAACAACTCGATGCCACCGTACCACGGTGTGCAGCAGCCTCCCCATATGCAACCGCCGCTGCCCCACGGCCCACCACATATGCCTCCGAACGGACCCATGCACATGCCTAACAAGCCGGCAGGGCCACCTCCGGGGCCGGGTCAGACGTTCAGTCATCTCCCCACCTACGGCAACCCCGCCACATTGCCGCAGAAGCCTTCCACTTAAGAGAGGAGTTTAAGCATTGAGAGCGGTGCCAGGAGTTAGATGGATACATGGTTCATAAAGCGTAACATGGTCGGTGGGGCCGCATGCATCGGGGCGTTTTGGGAATACAGAGGCGATGCTTGGTGCTGTTATTGTTGTTGGAGAAGAAAAAGGATCACCGGGACGGAGCAACGAAGGCCCTCTCTGCTCATCTCCGAAAGGCGGATACCTAACGACGAAAAGAAACGGGCGGGTGGCTGTTGTGTGGTGGTTTGGGACGGTTGCACGAGGTGGCCGAAGTGAGACATCGCAAAGACTAATGGGGCGATATAAAATTTCTGGCCACGATGGCACCACCATTATTCAGACCTATAGATGTGCAGAATAAACTCCAAGATGAATGCCATCCGTTTTTGTTCCGTGATCAAATCTCATATTGATTGCCCCTGGCCGTTTCTATGCTACGACCGCCGCCCAACGCCATGGCATCCCATTTTTTTTTAGCGTGTAGAGCCAGTTAATATCTCTAGAAACTTCACGCCACCTAGAGACGATTTGCCTCAGAATGGTGTGTTACACTCCTTCCTCCCCCAACATGTAATCAATGCCGCCTCACTGCCCCGCCTGTCATGCCGAGCGGGATGCCCTCCCCGTTCTGATCCCTACTCCCCCCGAGACGACCCCTCCTGTGTGCACGAAAAGCCTAACCCAACAGGCGGATCAAAGTGAGACAGAGACAAGATGGTGGGATATGTTGCGATAACAAGAGAATTCCGCCTGAAGAAACCCCCCGCTTTACCCTTTTCTTTAATCGTAGTATCATCCCTTTCTTGCTTCCTACTCGGCAGGCTCCCTCGGCTCCCTGGGCTCTCTCGGTTCCCCGCGGTGTCCGCCGCGGCCACCGCCGCCCCGCTTGCCTCCCCTCCCACCGCGGCCGCCGTCCTCGCCGTCCTTGCCCTTCTCGCCGCCCTCCTTGTCGCCGCCCACCAAGGGCGCGGTGGCGAGGCGCTGGGCAAGATCGATCTGGGTACGGATGGTGTTGGCCAGGTAGCTGACCATGAGCACGTCCTGGACGTGGTTGTTGAAGTCGGCCTCGATCTGGGTGGCCGAGACCTTGGGGGCCAGGGACAGGGCGTTCATCAGGTATTGGCCGAGTGCGTGGCTGCCGTCGCGCTCCTCGTCCAGCACCTCGCCGACGAAGCCCGAGACGCGCTCGAGCAGGTCCGACACGGACTCGAGCGACTGCGCGAGCGTCTCGATGTCGGAGATGACGGGCGCCGACCGGGCCTCCGTCTCGGCCGCCGCCGTCGCCGTGCCCAGCGCCGCGCGCTCCGCGTCGCTGAAGAGCAGCTTGTGCGGCACCTCGATGAAGAGGCAGGACTCGGCGGCGCGCTCGGGCGAGACGGCGACCGGGGCCGAGATGTACGCCTTGGTGGCGATGGGCGCGCCGGGCTCCGTCGAGATGGTCAGGTGCACGGCCGGGTGCGGGAAGGTGCCCGTCTCGGGCGAGGCGAAGAAGTTCTGGATGAGGGCCGAGAAGCTGTTGAGCTCGTGCGAGGTCGTGTACCACCCGAGCAGGGTCTCGCGCGGGGAGGCCTTGAGGGTCAGGGCGAGCATGTTCTTTTGATACTCGACGTCGACCTCGACCTGGTCTTCGTTCTCCGTGTGCGGGATCGCGAAGGTGCTCCGCACCTCGACCTCGCTACCATCTTCGCTGCGGGTGCCGACGAGGGCGCCGATCACTCTTGTCGACTGTGTGTCGCGGGTGTCGCGGCGGACGGCGTGGTCGATTACGGAGAATACGGCCTAGCGAAGGAGAACATTGTCAATGTCTTGATTCCAAAGTACCCAAATCTATACGAGGTTCCCTTTCACATGAAAAAGGGAGGTGTCGGGTACGTCTTGCGAACGGATGTGGTTGAGGGGTGGGCGGGCATACTTGGGGCTGGATGTGCACGGTAAGCGGGGCACTACCGGTAAAACCCATAGACGTAGGCGCCAGGGGTCGGGCGAGGTGGACGAAGTGCTCCTGCTCAACAGCCATATTGTCGAATTTCCTTCCTTTGCCTGTTCCTGTTCCTGAAGTGCTGGGAGTGGGCGTGGTGTGGTTCCCCGGTCGTAGAAAATTGGAGGAAGCTGATGGGGTAGGAACAAGGGAGTTGGGCGGGTCGCGGAGGATCGGGGAAAGTCGTCGCAGGCAAACCGGAGCCGTTCTTTTCTCTCAAGCTCGATCCGGGCGTTGCACCTCGAATTTTTTGGTTTTGTAGCGGGTGGGGGACTTGGTTGTGCGCGCTAAGATAAGCCCCGCCATGCAAAGTGGCGTGCAAGGCTACGGGGAGATTGGGACAGGGGACAGGGGTACAGGGCTTGGCAACTGAGTTTGAGTGGCTGTCGAACTGACAAGGCTGAAATATTTCATTTTCATACAACTTTTTCTTCAAGCGACCGACACTCACTACATCAACCATTAAGGGCAAAAATAGCTTCCGATATTGCGGAATTTTTAATATTAGCTTTAAGATGGCTCCGGGTGGCCGTGCTGGATTTCGCGGAGGCTCCAGCCGAGGAGGACCCAGTCGCGGAGGAACCAGAGGAAGGGGGTCGTCTCGAGGGAGAGGGAGAGGACGGGGAAGAGCAGTGGCACAACAGCCTCGAGGTGCCCGATTTGACGATAAAAGGCTAGCCTCCAAGGAGTATGTATTACTTCATGACGTTCTCATGGCGGTGTCCCTGGTGCTGACTGGACAGTGAGTCTGAGAGCGAGGCGGGGAGTGAGAGCCCATCGGACGACGAATCAGATGCCATGGAGGTTGATTCTAATGAGGAGGATGAGGAGGAGACTCAATCTGCCCAGCCTTACCTGAGCCTGATGCGGAGTCTCGTGGAGAGCGCGCCGAAAGCGAAGCGGCGGAAGCTGGATCACGCTTCGGCGGAGAGGCAGGGGCCGGAGTCCACAAAGCCAGAGGCGGCACCAGAAGCTACTGATGGCGAAGAGGATGGCGATGAAGATGGCGAGGAGCGGGATGTCGATTTTGTCGAAGAGCCAGAAGAGGACCCGACGAACGCGGCGCCAGAAGACTTATTTGACGAGGACGACGACCTGGATGTCTCCGACCCGTTTGAGGTGCACTTTGCGGACCCCAAAGAAGAGGTACTGCGGCCACGACTCGAAGCGATCCAGGGGAATAAGTGGCGCATGGAACGGATAGCAGCCAACTCGACAAGGGTCTTCTTCAACACTCCAGATGCTGGGGATGCGGCGGCCAAGCCGCTCCCGGCACCAATATCGGGCATTTCGGACCTCAAACTCAAGAAGAGATTGCAAGAGGCCATGGCTCCCAAACATGCCAAGTTTGACCAGGTTGAGCAAACAATAGCGCCGCTGCTCTTCAACTACCAGGACATGCTCTATTGCAACAGGACTGTTGCGGGGTCGCAGGGCATCAGGCGGATGGCCTCTCTCCATGCCCTCAACCACGTCTTCAAGTAAATGACCTAACAATGTTGGCATGACTGGCCGCTAACCCGTAGCAGGACCCGAGATCGAATCGTCAAGAATAACGCTAGGCTTTCTAGGGCTGATGGCAACGAGGATCTGGAGTTGAGAGACCAAGGCTTCACGCGACCTAAGGTGCTGATGCTCCTTCCGACCAGGCAGTCGTGCGTCAAGATGGTCGATATGATCGTCTCCATCTGTGAGCCAGACCAGCAGGAAAACCGGAAGCGATTTGAAGACGGCTACATCGATAAGCAATCAAAGTTTTCCGACGACAAGCCCGACGATTTCAAGGATCTCTTTTCGGGAAGCGACGACGACATGTTCCGACTGGGTATGAAATTCACCCGGAAGACAATCAAGTACTTTTCGCAGTTCTACAACTCGGACATCATCTTCGCCAGCCCGCTCGGTCTCCGCATGGCCATCGGCTCCGAGGAGGAGAAGAAACTCGACTTCGACTTCCTCAGCTCCATCGAGCTTGTCATTGTCGATCAAGCCGACGCCCTACTTATGCAAAACTGGGAGCACGTCGAGTTCATCTTCGAGCACCTCAACGTCCAACCCAAGGACGCGCACGGGTGCGACTTCAGCCGGGTGCGTAGCTGGTACCTAGACGACCAGGCCAAGCACTTCCGGCAGACGGTCATCTTCAGCGCTTTCAACACACCCGAGCTAGTCGAGCTGCTGCGGACACACTGCCACAACTGGGCGGGCAAGGCGCGGCTCCAGCAGGAGTCGGCGGGAACAATCCAGCACCTGCCGGTCAAGGCGCGGCAGACGTTCAGCCGGTTTGAGGCCGGGTCGATCGCGGCGGACCCGGACGCGCGGTTCGCCTACTTCACCAAGGCCATCGTGCCGATGCTAGCGCGGCACCGGGGGCGGGACGCGGCGGGCACGCTCGTCTTCATTCCGTCGTACCTCGACTTCGTGCGCGTGCGCAACTACTTTGCCAACAACCCGGCCGTTGAGAACGTCTCGTTCGGCACCATCTCCGAGTACGCCGACGTGCCCGAGGCCTCGCGCGCGCGGTCGCACTTCCTCAACGGCCGTCACAAAGTCCTGCTGTACACGGAGCGGGCGCACCACTTTAGGCGGTACCAGATCAAGGGGGTCAAGCGCGTGGTCATGTACGCGCTGCCGGACAACCCGCTGTTCTACCAGGAGATCGCGGGCGGGTATCTGCAGAAGAGCGAGCAGTCCCTGCTTGTGGAGCACGGACAGGGGGTGGTGAGGGTCATGTTTTCCAAATATGATGTGATGAAGCTAGAGCGGATTGTCGGGACGTCCAGGGTGGGCAAGATGATCCACGACCAGGGAGATACCTTTGATTTCGTGTAGAGGGTTGGTTATTTGTTCCATAGTTTGTTTGATGTTGCGTTGATAATGTACGCCGAGTATAAACAACACATACAGTGTCATACTCCCATATCTTACATCCATTCTTGATGTACAGTTCTCATGATGGATATGCAAAGGATGTCATGCCCCTTCCGCTCCACCCTGCCCCAGCAACGCAACACAGCCCAACCCACCTCATCCCTCCCAACCACACCCTCCCTTTCTCTCCCTCACCCCATCCTCCCCCTATCCCCTCTATTGCAACTTCAGCCCCTCCACCCTCCCAACCATCGCCTCAAAGGCCTCGCGGCCCTCGCGGCGGTAGCGCGTCACCTTGGCGATGTTCTTCTGGGTCAGGTCGGTGTGGGGCTTGCCCAGGCTGCGGTCGCGCGCGACGGCGGCGGCCGTCATGGCGAAGCGCATGTCCTTGGGCCCGTCCACCAGCTCCAGTATCGCCGACGGCGCCTGGTTGTACTTGTCCTTGGGCTCCGTCCGCAGCACCCGCGTGTACCCGCCGGGCCGCTCCGCGTACCGCTCGCGCAACTCGCCGAAGAGCTTGGGGAGGAGTTCGTGGGGGGTCTGTTTTGGGGGGAGGGGGTTGGTGGGTGAT